GGAACTTCTATATAAGTGTTTTTTTCAATTGCTGTTTGAGTTAGTGGTACAGTAAACAGATCCAGTTCAGTCTTTAAACACTCTTCTGACATGTTGTGTAGTAACGCCATGATTTAAAATATTGTTTTAACAGAGCTCCTTGATCTTTTTGAAGCAGTACGCTTAGCTGTCTCCTTGCGCTTGCGTTTTACAACTGATGTTTTCTTGGGAGGTTGTTTTGTTTTCTTCTGCTTCTGGCCACTCCTCCGCACCCCTGGCGGCCTAGATGCTCTTTTGCGAGCCATTACCATTAGTCCGGATCCGTCTTGAGCATCATAGTTGTTGTTAAAAGATCTTGATAACGTATTACTAACAACGTCACTTAGTATGTTTTTTGCAGCTGATTTAAGATGCGGCTTGGCTATGCTAAATCCTCGTTTTAGTAGGGGTATAGCCATTCTAAAGAGCCCCCGAAAAATCCCCCCCAAACCGGCCCCATACATGACTCCACCTCCTGCATACCCGGGGAGCCCGCTGCCTGCCTGATTCTGGTAATAGGCAACGTAACGCATAGGGTCAACATTGTGATTGTTGAAATATGCCATTTTAAACAAAGTGTTTTACAGGCCTGAAGTGAAGTTTGATGCACACTTTCCCGTAAGAAAATGGGGCGTGCTGGTTCTGATCGTCCTTCACTTCTATAACAATATCTGTGATGACTGATTTGTTGATAGACGCGTAGTGAGGTTTGTCGTATCGAACACTGACTGTGCTATTGTTGTCCCCTGTTATTTGTACACACTCCAGGAGCGGTACAAAAGCATCACCCACGGACTGGTAACGGATAATGTCCGTGTAGATATAAAGAGTATAGAAACCACCGTGTATGTCCGACTGATGCATTGCATATGTTACAATATCCTTTTCATAATTAGTTTTTTCAGGGTTTGTTTTTTGCAGAATAGAATCTCCTATAGGGACGCCTGGTTTCAATCCTAAAATAATGGCTAGTTTTCCATGGAAGGTCATTGAAATGTTAGGTTTTGCTTTCAGAAATACTTTGTTTTTTACGCGGTCATAACCGAATTCCCCCTGAGGCGCTACTAAATCATTTATTACACTAACTAGAGATGGGACATTGTCGTAATACCCTGTTTTTATTGGTATGCGTAGTTTCGATAAGCTGGTCTTCTTCACATCTACACCATGGCGTAAGCTGTTAGTGTACTTTTCACCATCGGTCGTGGTGGGTCCAATGTTTATCTCGAAAACGGCGTCATTGCTGTTAAAGGTGTACCAGCTTCTAGGATATTCAATTTGAACAAGCCCCACCTCCCATTCTCCTTTTATATTTATAGTGGTAGCCAGTCTTGTTCTATAATTAGAGATTTTATTATTAGGGTATACAGACTGCGAAGCGTTGCAGGGTAGTGTGACATAAAATCCACCCTCAGCCATGTCTGGTTTTTATACAACTGTATGCATCCTGTGTGTGTGGTTTGTATTTATGGCTTCTGTACATCAACTAATTCTTTCTGGTCGATCCATGACGCAAACTTCGCTGGCCATCCGAGCCACTGCACCAGCACTAATGTTTTGCGACCCTTCGTCTTCTTATCTAAAATTTTTTCAACTTTAAATGTCTTGTTTTTACTGACAAATATTTTTTGCAATTCTTCCGCATAAAAAACGCCGTCGATAACATCCCCGTCGTAATCACTCAATCTGTAAACAGGGGGTTCTCGTGGGATACACGCTGATATAGTAAAATACTCTTGTGTGTAGTTTTCCTCATACCCCTTTGCAAACGGTCCTCTGACTTTAGAAATTCGAACCACGTCACCAATCTTGTATTTAAATACGGGGTTAACACTATGAGATCTGGTATCACCATATAGGTTATGCAGCACCACAGACTCGTTTTCTTTCCCCACATCAATCGGCCTCATCTTGATGCTTCTGTGATGGCTCGCATTATATCCTTGTGTAATGTCTTGAAGTATGTCGATGTAACGTTTGGAGTTTGTAGCAGTTAAATATCTCCACATTCTACCTTTTAAGGTTCTATTAAACCGCTCGACAACGCATGCCTTTAATTCTGTGGCTGTTGCGAAATGGGCTATATTGTACTTTTTTGTTACGTTTTGAAAATGTTTGTTAAAAAACTCCTTTCCTTTATCTGTCTGTAATTTCTGTGGTACGCGTCCCTCTTTCAGTATGGATTCAAAAGCTTTAGAGACCTCTACACCACTCTTGTTTTTTAAAGCCCTTGTCCATGCATATTTACTAAAGAGGTCGATGCATGTCAGCAAAAAATGGTTGTTGTCATTTACCGGGGCATATGCAGACATATCGACTAGATCGGCTTGGAACTCCATGTCGATACCGTAGACAAAAACCCGATTCCTTTTGTATTTTAGTGGGGCCGTTCTGTGTAGTGTATATGCATCCTCGCCAGCGAGCCAGTCTGAAACCTCTTTATCGGTTAAACGAACACCCGTTTCTTTTAAAACAGCTTCTTTTAAGCGTTTTTTCCCCCCTAAAGAACCAGGGTTAGAAGGTGTGTAATAAGTCTTTTTCATTTCTTCTGACATGTTTCCACTTCACGCTCCACAAAAAGAATAACACAGATGGTTTAAGTAATTTGGGTTTTTATTTCTTAAACAGTAAAAGGAAACAAAGGTATCATACAGCGTCAATGTAGTGTAAAAATTTTATACACATCACAATGTTTTTTTCAAGAATGTAATCAACCAGGGCTTCAATAATTTCACAAACATCAGCCTGATTGTTTCTTGTCAATATGTCTACACATAGATCAGTCACATATGTACACAAGCACAATATATCAGCTATTCTAATACAGCTGCCGCATTCAGTCATCAGGTCTAAAATCTTTCTGATAGTCACACAAATTGGTTCACCAGCATTAACGCATAAACGCATCAAATCTGTCCATTCATTTGACACAGTTCTTACAACAGACATTTGTTTCATGAGGTTTGTAAAACGATTGGTATCTACAGCACATCTGTTTACAGTAACAGATACATTGGCACATTCATTAATAATCTTATACAACAAGCCGGTCATCTCACATCTAATACGTTGTTTAAGTAGACACTTTGCCAGACCTGTTGCAAAACACGTATTCCCCATGTCGGTGTTACAGTCACTCAACTTGGACAATACCTTTCCAGCTGTCCACAGCGTCATAGACAATTTGTTCGCTGCCGACGTCCACAACTTTCTCTCTGACTTCACGAAGCTTTTCCACAATGAAAACTTCGTCACGCAGTTCATGTAAAATAGCCTCCACTGAACCTTGAATCCTCTGGGGGTGAACCCTTAAACCACAACGGCTCAATGCTTGAGCAACGATGTGCTTAAGGTCCGGTTTCACCAGATTACGTGTCAGTTCCTCAAAGTAGGCGTCAAAGAAATAGGGACCCGGTTCAAACAGGCAGGAATGTCTAATCTGACTGGGGTGATCCACTTCACAACCCAAACAGATTTCTTTCAGCTTTTTGTTGATGACGTGTTCCAGAAGGACCACAACAGTCGCTTTTATGATTTTGAATCCGTCCGAGCGGATGCAACTGTCTGTGTTGTCGATTCCAGCAAGGGCCGCAGCTCCAGCTATTGCACCAGTGTTGCCGTATGGTGTTGTAAGGAAGGTCATGTTGTGATATCCAAGATCCATGCAAAATTTATCCAACCAACTGTTGTCGCAAGTTTGTGGGTGGGGCTCCAGCGGCGTAGCATTGTCATCAGGCATCGCTGGGGGAGCCTCAGGGTTGTTGGTGTAGCAGTAGACTGTTGTAGATTCTTGAGACATGGTGAATGAATGTAGCAATTGTACCGCTCTGCAGGCGTTTTTAATGGCTGTAATACGTGGGTGGGGTTAAGAGGCGGTCTTCAGCGTTGGTAACGCCCTGCTCAGGGTGAAACAATTTAATCTTTACAGAACTGTAACGGTCATACATGTCACACCATCTAAACATCTTGTCAATGCATGTAAATACGTTGTCAAGCGTACGAACATCTTTCCACTGAAACAAAAATTTCATGTCGTAGCACAAGTGATGCTCAGATTCACGAACAGGCCACGCACGTTCGCAGAGCTTTGTCTTGTCGTTGCAGCAGAAAATATAAACACAATCGTCTGGTAACTTTTTACTATGGTCCCCGACCACACGAAATCTTGTGTCAGGAATTGAGCCATCCCACTCGGCTACGTACAACGGATCATCACCACAGTCGTTCAAATCTCTCCAAACGTAGTTGAAAAACAGAAACCAGTCCTTCTTGTGGAAAATCACACATGGGGTCTGTGATGTAAAATCGTCTTCAACATCTCCTGTGTAGAGTTTCACAGTACGCATCACCTTGTCAAACACATACCTCACCACACGACCACCAGACATTGAGAAATCCTGTTTCACAAGAGCACTGTCTTCATGAAGAAATCTTGTCAAGCTAACATTTAGCTTTTTCCTTGGAGCAAAAGTTAGATCTTCTCTCATTTCAACAGGTCCTCTTGTCGGCGAAATACACATAACCTTTCTAGGGGTTTTAGGAGTTCTCGGAGTAGCCATTGTATCAGGAAAGTCGTAGAATGTCTTCTGTGTTCAACAGTGTAACCCCTAACCTTATTTAAAACTGCAACAAAAGACGTAGGTAGTGACGTAGTTGTGAAAAAGGCACACCTCATACCATAAAAAACTACAATGGCAAGTTGCGAGGTGTGAGTTCATTAACCCAGTCGTAAAAACCAGTCAAAAATTTAACATCTGTTTGATCTGTTTGTTTGTTTTTTAAAAGTCCCCGGACATCGGCACGGATGATGTCACGTGGCGTCGCACATCCTAGACATACCGGAGCCTGTCAGCGACCCATTATAAATCAGAGACAGGGGAACCGCAGAACCATAAATCAAAGTCATAAAACACCTTTTTTGACACATGGTTTATGTTAACACTACTATCATAATACTAATTTCATGAGACCCTTGTTTTCAGATAATAAAAGAGGGACTGGCGACTCTGCGGTGAGTTCAGTAATGCAGTGATTTAGATTTGATTACTGTCTTTAAAGCTCAATAAAGTGTCATTCATGCAGTTTAACTGTTTGTTCTGAAGGTCAAAGATGAGAATGAACATAAAGGGACGTATGAGACGATCAACATGTCCATTCCTCCTGCAAGAGCCGATGTGAGTCACTAAATCATCAAACATTACGTTCACTGTCTGTTCAATAATGTGATTTAAAAGCTTTTGTGTTATTCTACATATTATAGTGAGAGATATGTGTGTTCTGTGTGTTAAACTTGACTCTCTGCACGTCTGCATTGATGTTTAGGAGCAGACAGATGATGTGACTTATTCTGAGGTCACTTCTTCCAATACAAAGCCAGTAAAATCGCTCAATGTGAGTAGAGACCAGCACAAGAGTTTGACTCTCAGATAAATGAAGCTCATGTTCTAATAATAATAATAATAATAATCGATGTGGTTCAAACATTGATGGACAGAATCTGTGCTGTTCTTTCAGGATCATGATGATACAGTGACTTATGCTGCCATCAGAGGAAGAGAAGATTAACCGCAGGATGAACTTTATGCCTCTGTGAACGAGAACAAGACCTTCACAAATAAACTTTAATGATACAGATCATGAGCTCATCATATCAGGAGCAGACGGGAAGATTTCATCTCTCTGGTGTTTGGAGGAATTATATATTTGTGTGTGAAAGAGCAGATATTTGTTGAATGTCCTGTGAATATGAATGAGGTTAATTGTGAAGCATCATCTGGTCTGAGCACAGAATCTCCTCTATATCATCACAGCTACAGTAAAGTTAGAGATTGAAGCCCTGATGTGTTTTAAGACAGGCCAGACTCAATCTAGTGTCTCACAAGCCTCTTCCATGACTGGAGTCTGTTTATCCGCTGGATTCCTGTCTGAAAACCTTCATCTTCGTGCAGAAGCTCATGCTGAAATGATCCTCTTGCTTCAGCTTGTATATCAGCTGTTTCTTCTACAGAAAGACGTCCGTCTGAGAATTATAGCAGTGTCTGCTAACATTATATTGCCATAAGATATTCTAAAATTTGACTTTGCACTGTGTATATGTTGTGAAATTAAATGTCAGTTATTTCTTTTTTTCCCACATGTGACAATAAAGAGCATGAAAAATCATGGGTTGAAAGAAAAGTTTTTGTCTCTTCCATTCCTGTAAAAAAGGACAGAACTAAACTTGCTCTTGTTAGCTGGAAAGTTTCAAAGTAAGTTCAACAAAATATTCATATTTGTAAGCTGAAATTTACCCTATAGTTCTGATGTGAAAGTCTGAATGTTTCGATTCACACACAATAAACTAGTCAGTTATCCAACTGTCCAAACATCGAGCGAAGGGTTCATTATGATGACCATTGCACTGACCTCGTACTTCATGCACACGAATGATGTTGAAACGATGGAATCTGGTCATCTACAGCTTTAAGATGGTATGAGCTTCTGGAGTCGGGATTTCATCCCTGTTATAGGAATTAAGTCACATTCAGTGAGAGTTGGTAGTGATAAGCGAACTTCTACATCTGTCCATTCCACGATGAGACAAGATGGCGGCGGACCTGAGATGCAGTGTGGCAGGAACTGCTCTTAGACTAGATTAAAGCCAACTGATTTTCATCTTTTTAATGTGTTTATTTTGATGATCAATTTTGCTGCGGCTTTTTTGAACTTCCATAAGATGAAATCTATGCAGATAATTTTGTTTTTTTTTGCATATGTATTTGCCCTCCTTTACGCTTCGGTTCAATGCTGTTGGATTAGCCGTGCATACGGCAAGGGGTTTCAGTCACCAAACAATTTAAATGGACTGGGATAGTTTGCCTCGTACTCCGTTGTTCTAAAAAAAGGAAAAGCTTGGAGGTGTTTTGCAGTCGCTGCTGGTGGATATTGTCGGTGGTGTTGTCGTATTGAATTCCGGCACAGCACCTGGAGGTGTTTTGCAGTCGCCGCCGGTGGATATTTGTGGTCGGATTGGGATCGGGATTGGCCGCGGCCTGGCTGTCTTGCCGAATTGTGCTGGAGACTCACCCAGATTCTCCGCGGTGGCTGCTGGTGGTCGGGCCGGGGCTGGCTGTGGTCTGGATGTGCTGTCCGGCTGTGTCGGGGGGGCTGGCTCGACTTGTCGCCGTGTGTTGGTGGACGGGAGGCGCAGTGGACTTTAGGCTGTCGAGAGGCATCATAAGCTGCAATATTTCTAAACAGTGAACCACTCTAAAGTAATGTGGGACCGCGGGGCTAAACTGAAGGGTATTTTAGGAGGACATTTAAATATCAGAAGTGTGTTACCAAAACATGAACAAATTGAAAATGTGCTTAATGACTCAAATTTAGATTTTTTGTGTTTATCTGAAACATGGTTAACTAAAACTTCTCCTAGTGCTGCTTTGATAATGCATGGGTATAAATATTTCAGGCATGATAGGAAAATTGGTAGAGGAGGAGGGCTCCTTATTTATGTTAAAGATCATTTCAAATGTGAACAATCTTGAATGTTCAAATGAATTTGGATGTATTGCCGTTTTAATCACTTTATCTACACAAATGTCTTTTACTATAGTTGCAGTTTATAGACCCCCTTCATCTGATATTTCATTATCATTTAAAAAATATCTTTAAAGAAATTGATTGATAAAGAGTGTCACCATTATGGTGATCAGTGTTTACGTTAGTTGGGCTCAGTTGTATCTGATTGTTATGTTGAGAACAGCAAGAGAAAATGCAATCAGATGCTATAAGCTGATTGATGATAAAAAAATAATCATCTAGTGCCTTAACTTACTAATATTGTGTGTGAGTTTTATACGGGTGATATGTTATTAATTTAGTTTTATTGTTGTGATTCTACAGCAAGAGATCCAGCACATTTTTATCTGGGGCCGTATTCACAAAGAATTTTATCTTACCACTAGGAGTACTCCTAAATCGCACTAAAATATTTTAGCTAGGAGTTTTCTCTTAAAAGTTATTCACAACGCCTTTCAGACCTACTCTTAGTAAGGAAAAATGACAACTCCTAAACTAAGAGTGAGTCTTCGTTGCTATGGATGACGTCACTTCTCAGGCACGAGCTTCCTCGCAGTGATCACGGTGATTGGTTGTTAGATGACAGGGCCATCATGCGGAACATAACACAGACGCAACAAATCATGGAATTACGACATCTAAATATGTCTCACTGTGTCCTACACAAAATAATAATAGTAATGTCATCGAAATGCATATATAATGACATGTTTGTGCAGGCCCCAGTGAAGTGTAATTCTAAAAAGGCAGAGAGAGAGAAAAGTCGTGAATTAAAATAAATTAAATCAAGGTAGCCTAATACCCTAATGAAAACCTCCACTTGCCCAATAATGAAAAACAACACTTGCATTAACACTTGCTTGGTTAATTGACATCCTATTAGCCTAAATAGACTACTTAAAGCAAGGAAATGTTGCTCTTATTGAAGTAATGTAATAGTTGAATCAAATGACAGTGGATTATGAAGTCGCCAAAACGTAAAAGAAAGCCCAACTGGACGCAGGATCAGTTACTGCTGCTGGCCGAGTTGGTGCTGAAAAAAAAAAAAAAAAAACATAATAAAAGTGAAATTCGGCACTGGGATATCAAGCAAAACTAAGCGTGAGAATGGGAGATGATTTGTTTGCAGATCAATGCAGCATTCCAGCTTGTGTCGCGGACCCCGGACGACTGCGAGAGGCGCTGGTGTGCGCTACAATCCTTTGTGAATAGGTCTTGGTGAGTTAGGAGTCCTCTCGACTTCTTTTAAGCTGTCCCAGACTTAGGTGCTACTTTTAGGGCTAAAATGCTTCGTGAATTACTCTTAGTGAAAAAAATTAGGAGTCCTAAATTTAGGAGTGACACGCCCATTATTTTTAGGAGTTGCTCCTAAATTCGCCAGTTAGGAGCTACTTTTAGCCTTAAAATTCTTTGTGAATACGGCCCCAGAACATCAAATGATGTTTTATTAACAAAGTTCGGGAGGAGCACGTTCAGATAATTAAACACACGTGGAGCACATTTAGATAATCAAACCTAATTAGACACGAGTGGTGCTTAATCAACGAGTTAAGCGCTGTGTATATATACAGCAAACTTACCTCCGTTCATTGACAGTTTAACAGCATCCCTCCACCACCCCATCTCCTCACTTATAGTCCTAATACTCTTACAACAACGGGGGGAGTACTCTGGGTTCGGGCAAAATTCCGAGCTCGGAGCCCTCCCCCGGGACAGCACGCCAAATACGCATAATCTTTACTCTGTTTAATTGATGTAAGTGTGAACTCGTGAAATGATTTTTAAAAACACCATTTACACATTTGGGATTTCTGCGGTTTTTACTCACACACAGACATCAAGAATCAGCATATGAGTTGCTACAATGGTGACATGCTTCACACTGCAATGCATTCTGGGAGCCATGAATACGTTTCGTATGATGCTCCCAGAATGCATTGCACCATGAAGCATGTCACCATTGTTGAGATTCATATGCTGATTCTTGATGTCTGTGTGTGAGTAAAAATCGCAGAAGTCCAAAATGCGTAAATGGTGTTTTAAAAATCATTTGATGATCTGCTAAAAATGTGCTGGATCTCTTGCTGTACAATAACAACAATAAAACAAAATTAATAACAGATCACCCATATGAAACTCACACACAATGATTTTATTCTTATCATGAATCAGTTTATAGCATCTGAATTTTCTTTTGCTGTTCTCAACATAACAATCAGATACAACTGGGCAGAGAAAAACTAATGTTAAAAAATCAAGAGCCCAACTAAAGCAAACACTGATCACCATAATGGTGGCATCAAACCAAACTATTATGTTCAATAAATCCTCGACATCTTAACCTCTGTTAATTCTCAATAAGAACTACTGTGGAGTGTTCATTTCATCTGGGCAAACCCATGTGGGGCCTAAGATATTACGCAGTACTCGTTCCCTCTCTAGAGAGAACCGAGGTTACGTCAGTAACCGAGTACGTTCTTTTTGCAACTGGGACAGTTGCCGATGATGAGCACGAGAAACGTTTGTACTGGATTACATATTTATTTATTTACATTACATGGCTGGTTTTCGTGCACGTCAGCAAGTCACATATTTGTTTAGTTCATGCATATATTTCCCCAGTCTTTGAAGCATATTATATCTTTTATACAAAAAATTGTTTATTCATTTAATTTAGATTAAAATTATTAGATAAAATTATTTATTTATTTTAAATCTGCCCGTTTTAATTATTTTACTTATAAATTAATTTAAACACAAAACGAGTAATAAAGTGTACAATGAAGTACAATCAAAACCTTATAATAATCACATTGCACTTGAATAAAGTTAAAGGTGTAATCTGACGGTTGTCCTGCAGGTGTCCTCATAACTCTGTCTTCTTACGATGCACTTGGGGATTTACGATTACTCCAGAGCACTCATAGATCTACGATGATTTTCAAGTGCTACTTAGGTTGCGATGCTTTTGGGAAACAGACCGTAATATTAAGATCAGTCGTACGATTGTTTTTACGAACTTCTTAGGCTGCTTTTGGGAAACGCAGCCCTGATCCTGTAGGAAGCGTTGGAAGACCTACAATAAAGGCATATTTCTCCTAATTTCTCCCAGATTAGTTGTTGTTGACATTCCATGATATACAGTAGAACTGTTCATTTCTCATGAATGGCTGAGATTAAGCTTTTTAAATGTGTATGTTTGCTGTTTAAATAAATATTCACAAATATATTCTTGTGTTTTGCAAAGTTGTCTGTATATTATTAAATTAGACTTTAACTTATTGGCTGATAGCTCAAGACAACATAAGAACTTGGAATTGCATTTTGCATGCTTTGAATGTTGCTTTATACTGACTCAACTGAAAATCTTTTTGATACACAACCTTTACTTTATCATAAATGTTAAACTTCAGATGCATTAACAGTTGTTTTCTCTAGCAATGCTTTAGAAAGTTGGTCAAATTAAGTGATAATAATGACTAACCATTAATCATACAAATTAGGCCTACATTTGATCAGTTTAGTAATGTTATCATTCTTATGTACTCTTTTTGTAAACAAGTGAACACAAAAACACACTGGTGTAGAAGGCATGGGTATACCAAAAAATTAAGGAACGATATTTATAAATATAAAAGTGTGTTTTTGTGTTCTTTTGTATAAATTTAAAGACTATTTTAATAATATGCAGACAATTTTGAAAAACACAAAATAAAAACACAAGAATATATTTGTAAATATTTAAGGACAAAAACTTGAGAAACGTCTTGAAATACATCATCTGAACAATGTTTCGAGGTCTAATGGTACTAAATTAAAGTTTCCAGTAAAGCATAATGATTAAGATAAAGCCCCTGACCACCTTAATCAACCCCTGCTGCTTGTGTAGCTTAGTTATAGTTATATGATTTTATTTTTATAAAGTTAAACCTTTGATATTCTTTGTTATGTATTAATTATCTTGTTCCCCCCCCCCCCCCCCCCCCCTTTCTTTTTGTTATGTTTTTAATTTATTTTTGATCCTATTTTGTATGACCATGGTTCCTGTTACCTAATCTTTTTGAAGCATGCCCTGCAGAAAACAATAAAGCAAATTCTCGAGAATTCAGTGTTTTTCGCTTTACTTGCTGTCTGCCATTGTCAAGACAAGACCTCCTTACAAGTGGTTTCATATCAGCCTTTCCTGTTGCGGAAGATAAACAGGAAATAAGGGAGGAGCAAATAACACACTGAAAGATCCTGTAACTGTTGTTTAACTTCATTTCGGGTAGATTTACGCCTTGTTTATCTCTCGTTACGAAAATGTTTTAAAACGAAATTGTAAAGATTAGTTCTGTTCTGCTTAAGTCTAATTTAAATCACAGAGTTCCACTGTTTCAACACGTGAAGGTCGAGCTCGTGGCATCGTTCACGAGGACGCAAAAAAACAAGAACTTCGATCAAGACTGCAACAAGGTAAGGATTGTCAATTGTGGGAGTATATTAATACGTTTGCTTTATTAAGTAGTAATTGGAGTTGTGGGGATAATATTGTAGTGACGCATCGACATAAAAACGCTTGTAGTTGAAACGAAACCGAAACTAAACACAATGCGGCAAAAATGAAATATATATATATATATATATATATATATATATATATATATATATATATATATATATATATATATATATTAAACATTTAAACATTGTAATAATTGTCCAAAATGTCACATGTTCTTTTTTCTAAAGATTGTATTAACACCTTAATCTCTGTCTGTAACCCGCGGTGTAATATTTGTCTCTTAAAATGGCAGACAGATTACCATCAAACCGCATCAGTGAACGGCCAACTCACATTAGAGACATCCTGAACACGTGAAACAGGCAGATGTATAAATATGAATCATTTGATCAGTAGTCGAGTACAGAAAGCATGCACATTAATAACAAGAAAATTTTTCAAGCTATTGTAGTGTTTACACATGGCACTAAAGCTTCAAATCCTGTATCAACTCGCAGCACAATTTCTCATGTAGCTCCGGAAGGGAGCGCACGTATTGTCTTCAGAGAAGCACGTGATCAACGATAAACGACGCCTCACTTTCTTTCTAGTCACGTGTAGCCTACTTCATTTTGCGTGTCGGAACACAGACTACTCTAAAAGGGTTAATGGAAGTTAATTTGTGTGTGTGTGTGTCTATCTATATTCTATCTATATAGAGCCTATAAACACCCATAGCCTAAACAGTAAAATAATTAGGGCACCAATTACTTGCATCAAAGAACTCTGTTGGTATTATTGTTACATTTAATGTAGTGCCACACTTTAATGTGGGCATTGTATGATCAGAAAACTGAACATTTAGCGTTGTCAGGCTTTTATTTGTGCTTAATTAATAAAACTACGGATCTGCGCTGCTGTATTTTATCTGCCACAAGATGGCGCTGTCTTTTACACTCTTGATGCTTCTTTTCCCGAAAAAAGCAGAGAAAAGATTCAATGTTTCAAGAGGCTTCACTTCTCCATTCCTTATTAACAGACTTGAACTTTACATTTACAACAGCAAGAGTTCCAACAGAGATCAGTTAGAACGAAGGACTTTTTTTAAACACAATAAAACAAAGTTACAGCATCATTTAGACACACACAGACATCAAAAACAGCACATGAATCTCAACAATGATGACAATAAAAGAAGACCATTCAGCTGCATCATTTTAGTTTTGTACTATGCTGGCACCCAGCATGCATTGCGACATGAACCTTTTGATTGTCACCATTGTTGATATTCATATGATAATTGTTGATGTCTGTGTGTGTGCAAGAGTTCAAAATGTTGTATGCTCTGTATGATTTTAATGTCCTTCAGAAATAAGTGAAAACTGAAACATTTCTGCATGAATGCTGTAGAATCACAGAGTTATAATCAACAATAAATATAACATTAAAAGACACAGGGAGAGATCACTGAATCATACATGTTTCTGATGATTATGGCAACAACACAACAGACAAAAACACCTGTTAATTCACAATATTCCTGTGGCTACCTTCTCAAAAATGACAAACATTACCCAGAATGCATTGTTTTATATGATATATTGCTGTTTAAAAAAAAAAAAAAAAAAAAAAAAGTTTTATAGTGTAAATGTTTCATTTAATTATAATAAATGTTTTGTTCTTTTAGACACACATATAATTAAATATCCAGTTGTTTATATGCAAATATTGGAAGAAATACTGTAAAACATATGTTCTGAATCAATGAATTATTTTGTGTTCTGCAGTTAAACTGTGAGGTGGAGATATGGCGGAATTCAATGTAAGTTCAAATCTTTGTTTATGAGCTTTCTATGGGAGAGTAAAATGATTTAACTTAAATTAAAATCATATTAAAAATTATAGTATTTTTAGTAATGTATTTATATTAACCCTCTGGGGACCAGAGTGTTTTTGGGGCCCTTGGGATGTTTTGACATGCACTGACATTTGTGCTTTTTTCAGTTATTTATAAACATGTTAATGGCAAAGGTGTAAATTCACTCTATATAGCACAAACTTGGCTACCATGAGATCTGAGCAACATGTATGTACATGTTTGTATTTTTAATAGAATAATGTTTATGCGTGGTTATTGAAAAAAATAAAAATGAAAGTTGCTGAAATAAGACCACAAAACACATATTGATTATTTCTTCACAAGACTTTTGAAAATTGTATCACATAGCCTAGAATATTTGCTCCAAAACTATGTGAGAATCATCCTGACTACTCATTCAGATAAGTCAATAAAGTCTTTTACATTTTTAATGACGTGTTTTGTTTGAGAAAGCTTTATGCAGGAGGCTTGATCTCTCATTAATATGTATGGCATTCCACACCTGAGAAAGACAAAGACCCTCCCATAATGGCCCTATTAGGTGCTATCAGGCCATATCATTACAGGAGCCTTGCACAAAGAATGAGGAGATTTAAAAAAGAATGGCTTTTAGATTGTTTGGATATTATAAGGAAAATACAGGGTGCATACGTCTGGACACTTCTATCACACACCCTTCACCATATAGACATGGTTTTATTTCAGTTCAAAGTTAGAGTTGGAAACATCTTGAAAAGAAAATTGTCTTTCTCCATAAATGTCTTAGTTTGATCATACATATTTCAAAGTTGAGGATTCATTATTTTGATATAGCTTGAACAAACACTATAACATCTTAGTTGATTAGTTTATTGACAAAACATACTATATATTTAACATATGAGCAGAAACTCCTAAAAAAGCTTATTTGATGTCTATTTTAGAGTAAAAACTTTATCCAAAACGAGTCAACGAAATGTTGTCTGTTATTTAGTCTGTAACAGTGCGTATCTGTGCGTTCATTCATTCATTCACACACACACACACACAAACTGTGTGACACAAACATGATTCACATTTAACAGTATGCTATTTTTCCGTTTACAGACACTACGTTATTCTATATCGCGATTAGAACAAAGCACTTGCAAAAAACACTTACTTCTCAGCTGAATCTGTTCATCCTCGAAGTGAAAATAACCCAGTGGTAAATGTCCCAGGATTGTTCCACATATAGCCGCGCAAGACGACAGTAGATTAATCTGACTAAAAAATAATGTGTGTTTTCAGAGTTCATGGGCGTTAACGCGTCTCAATGTGTTGCTTCACATATTTGCGTTTGAATAGCGCGTGCTCTCCGTGGGCGTGTCACATTACCACAGATAATCAGCTGAGAGAACGATAATGAGATGGGCTGACACGTCTCTCTTTTTATATAGATGACATAAACGGAGAATAATAATTTTAGTTTTGAATCGGATCATTTAAAAGTACAAACTCAAATGATTTAAAAGATATATTGCTTATGGCTGGGTGAATAGTATTAGCTGAGTTGTGTTGAAGATTAGAGACGTGCTCCAGAAAAAAAGTTCACGGTGACCGAGAGGCAGAACGCACACCCTGTTTATTTTCTTTATTTTACAAAAGCACAATATTTTATTTCGATTGTATGTGGGCACATAAAAAAGTAGACATTTAACAGATTATTTTCTCATATTTCTTAACTCTATATGAACAGAAATGATGGTAGTACTTTAAGTCTATTTTTCTGCTATGTGAAAAAAAACGAGCAAAACGCGCCGGCGCGTTTCTGGTCCCCAGAGGGTTAAGGGTTCCAAGCACCAGAGGCTTCATCAAACCTTAATTATCAGTGAAGATTACTGATTAACTTTGCTTAAAAAACCACATCATATTTCAAAAGATTCACTTCTATCACCTAATTGGTGCTTTGACCCCGATAAGTGCTTTCTTAAACAATTAATTTAAATTGACACTTACTTTGATATTGTATCAGGGCAACTGAAAATATGCTTTAACATTTGGGGGAAAATATATAAATGATTTCCATGTGTCAGTTCATTGGTCACAATAGTCAGTCAATGAATTCACATACTGCATGGAATTTTGTATGAATGTACAATTTAAAGAAACTAGTTCATGTGCAGACTAGAGGTCGACCGATACGTGTTTTTCTCTGGCCGATGATGATATTTAGAAATCTGGGCAGCCGGTGGCCGATATATGATGCCGATATGTTTGGCCGATTTTCCTTTTTTTTCCCCCTTCATTTCATAAAATCTCACCGTTAATAAGAAGTTATACAGAAAACTGCTTAGATTAAACATTTACTGAACACAAACCTCTCCAATTAGTGCACTTGTATGAAATAAATGTAAAAAAAATGATGTAAACGTTAAATATTAAAATAGGTCATCAAAAATCTAGACTGTCACATTTTAAATTCGAATTTATTGAAAGGATAGGCCCTTGAGATGTAACATCTCATTTTCAAGGGGGTCCTTAAAAACACAAACAGAATAATAACACAAAACACAACAACCTTACAAAACAAAAGAAATGCTCAACCTGTCCCCCACACACACAAACCATCAGGAACATCAACAGTTAATAACTGAAAATCCTCGAATTCTCAAAAAAGTAGAAGAAAAATCAGAGAAACAGGAAGATTATTCCAGTCAAAGGGGGCTTCATACTGAAATGACCTACGTCCGACTTCACTGAAAATTTTAGGAACAAGAAAAAAAGGATATTGTGTATGTCTAAGTGAATAAGAAGAACTATATGGACTCAAAAATTGTTTCAAATAAAAAGGACAAACAAAATAAACACATTTAAAAATAACCAGAAGCCAATGGAATTGTCTTCTAGATTTAGGATGCAACCAATTCATACATGACAATGAGGAGTACAATATGGACACCTTAACACAAATCTGCACAAAGAATTGTAAACAACATTAAGATGTAAACAAGGCTTAAGATAAATATCATGGGTATTTTGATAAACAATGTCGGCATAATCAATAAGAGGTCATATTAACTGAGAATCATTTATTTTCCTGACTTGAAATGTAAAACAATTGATTGAGCGATAAAATAAACGCAAACAATAATATGTTCTATTAACAATATAATCAATATGGGACTTAAAAGTAAGTTCAGGATCAATCCAAAGGCCAATATATTTAAATGAATCAACATGATCAAGAGATAAGCCATCATCAAAAATAATATTCAAATCAGAAGGATATAAATGACAACTATAAGTAAGACTCTTGTTGGCGTACTCTGGCTAGAACTCCTGGGAGCAGAGATACTGGAGGAAATGCATACAGGCGCATATACGCATAAATGCATACAGGTGCATTTTGGGCCATGTGTGCGCCATCGGATCCAGACCCAGGGGGGCTGGGTGACTCAGAGAGAAGTAGAGGGGACATTGCGGTGTAAGATGGGAGGCGAAGAGGTCCACCACCAGTAAAATCTGGTCCAGATCTGTTTTACTACATCTGGGTGGAGTTTCCATTCCCTTGTGTGTAATTTCTGTATGGACAGTAAATCTGCTCCCACATTCAGATACCCCGGAATGTAAACTGCCCTGAGTGACAGGAACTTACCCTCGGCCCAGAGAAAAATCTGCCTCGCTATTCTGTTCAGATGCGTGAGCCCAGACCTCCCTGGGGATTTATGTAAGAGACTGTCGCTGTGTTGCCACACTAGGACATGGCAGCCTCTCAACTGGGGGAGAAAATATTTCAGGGCCAGAAATACAGCCATCAGCTCGAAACAATTGATGTGCCAATTGAGCTGATGACTGTAACGACTGAGATAAATCAGACACAATTATTTGTTATATATAACTAATAATCTTTAACACTCACTCTGGGATCTATATTACCATCCCCCCAACTAGGACAAGAACCATGACTACTATCAGATAAGATGGCTTTATTGCTATGAAAAATGTGGTCATGTGGTCAAGACCTAGCCCACAGGAAAGACAGAAACAGACCTTAGAACAGACTTTCCTGCATTCATTTTTAGACAAACTGCTCTATAAATGAACATGCATCCCAGGACACTGTGTGAATGATTTACTTTCTTGATTTAGTGTATTTTAATTCTATTTTTTTTATACTGTGTATTTTATGATAGAACCAAAGGTCAATCTAACCTCACCTATACCATGTTTGGTCTCTATAACTTGGTACTTTGAAGATCAAAATGATGGTGTACATGATATTTCGATAGCTGCGCAACATATTTAATATTACAAGAATCTTTCATAGTTTCTTCATAAGCAACCAATCCAGCTGCACATGCAAATGAGCACGCTTAAAACAAAGATTCATAAATCAATCACAGAGGAATTTTCCTACTTGGAAATTCCACCCTTCTCATTGGTCAAGCAAACCCGGAGAGGTGGGGCTTTTCTCAGGCTTAATTGGAGACAAATTCACAGTGACCTCTCTCTTCTTCTGGCCTTCACTGCTGCTTCTTTGCGTTGATGTCTGTGGAGCCCCTGGCAGGCCGTGACCACAGCCTGCTATGGCTTCACTCTCCCAACAGAGTTAGACTGTATTTGATTAAATCCAACTCTACCATCACTGAATGGGCAACCATTAACTTCTCTTGTACGTTCGGGTTGCTGCCCTACGGGGTCGCAGCAGGCCTTGACTCACAACCAGCCATGTGGCATGTGCTCATCAACGTTTGACACTCAAGGAACCATCAAAATCCCTTTTTCAGGATCTTCATGAAATGCTTTCACTGCAAAAGTCATGCAAGTATATATTTAATGAGGTGCTCTGAAAATAATAAGCTGATGGTTCTTTTCATGTTCAATGAATCTGACACTGGTCAGTACACGTGGGGGGACACCGTAAATCCGTGGGCGGGGCTAAACAGGCCGTGTTCAAGTAGGCGTTGATCTTCTTCTGCGGA